GGAGCCCTCACTCGCCGCTGCTGGTGGGAATGGGATGCAGCAGCTGCTGGGGAGAACCGTCTGGCGGTTCCTCACAAGTTGAACAGTGGTCTGACTCAGCTGCACCCCTAGACGCAGACCCAAGAGACCCGCAAGCTGGAGCTGCAGTCCTCGGGCGCACACGTGTACAGCAGCAGCACTTGCAATAGCCAGAAGGTGGAGACAAAGAGCCATCAACCGCTGGAAGGATGAGCAGAAAACAGAACGTGGGCAACTGTACAGAGGGTCCTCGGGAAGTTAAAATAGGAATGGCAGATAACCCGGTAATTCCGCTGCTGGGTGTTTACCCAGAGAAAGTGAAAACGCTGATTTCCATGAAAGGACTTAAAGGTCCAGCGTGGGGACCTTGAAAACGATGCTAAGTGCAAAAGAAGCCAGATGCAGAAGACCACACACATATTCTACGACTGCATTTATGCAAAATACCTAGAATCAGTAAATCTGTACAGACAGCATAGATAGGGGACCTTCAGAGCTGCGAGTGACTGGTACTGGGCACAGGGCTTCCTTCCGAGGGTGGTGGCAAGTTTTGGAACTAGGTAGTGATGGTGAATGTAGGAGATGCCGCGAGGCAGTCCCCAGGAGGTGGGGCTCCCGGGGTGGTACTTCGTGACACTTCGAGTCTGTGCTTGTCTTAGCCTCTGCGTCTGATCTTCGTGCTTCATCTGGGTCAGTTCGTCACTTACAACCGACGTCATTAACGTTTTGGTTTTGCTGATAGTATTTTATTCTGGGCCTTTACCTTGGTCACACACATTCTGTTTCTCTTCCTTTTTGCCTCTTTCTGAGGGGGTGGTTTTAGACTTGTAACATTCCACTCTTTCCGTTACTTTGGAACTCATACATTCTATTTGTGTTCTGCAGTTGCCAGAGAACTCGCAACAGGCACGCACATTATATCGTGGTGCCCGACGATCACCTCCAAGAGTTCCAGGTCCAACTCCCTGGAACTTGTGAGTGTGGCCTTAGATGGCAAAAGGTTTTTGAACATAAGTTTAAGAATTTTGAGGTGGGAGGGCGCCTGGGCGGCTCAGTCGTTGGGCATCTGCCTTCGGCTCAGGTCGTGATCCCAGGACCTGGATCGAGCCCCACATCAGGCTCCTTGCTCGGCGGGAAGCCTGCTTCTCCCTTTCCCTCTGCCCCTGCTTGTGTTCCCTCGCTCGCTGTGTCTCTCTGTCAAATAATTAAGGGCACCTGGGTGGCTCAGTGGATTAAAGCCTCTGCCTTCGGCTCAGGTCATGATCTCAGGGTCCTGGGATGGAGCCCCGCATCCGGCTCTCTGCTCAGTGGGGAGCCTGCTTCCTCCTCTCTCTCTGCCTGCCTCTCTGCCTACTTGTGATCTCTGTCAAATAAATAAATCTTAAAAAAATAATAATAATTAAAATCTTTTTTAAAAAATAAAAGGATTTTGAGATGGGGGCATCTGGGTGGCTCAGTCATTAAGCGGCTATCTTCGACTCAGGTGATGATCCTGGGGTCCTGGGATCGAGCCCCTCATCGGGCTCCCTGGTCAGCGGGGAGTCTTCTCCTTCTCCCACTGCCCCTGCTTGTGTTCCGCCTCCCACCATGTCTCTCTCTGCCAAATAAATGAATAAAATCCTTAAATAATAATGATAAAATAAAAATTTATAGAGAATAAATTTGTGTTAAGTCACTAAGTTTGTGTTAAACCAGCAATAGGAAACTAATACACCTACCGAAATCTAAGCCTTGTGTGCCCCTGGATGAGACGAGGACTTAAGAGCACTTGACCGCCGTGCAGCCCTGACTCGGTTCTGACAGTTGTCGCTGTCTGGTGTCTCATGTCTCTTGAGGCTGTGTTCTGGGTAACCCCACAGACATTTTATACAGAATTAACGTTTGTGTTTACCGCTTCATTTGTTCATTCCTCCTTAGACCGCAGCTTCTGCCCGGGCTCATTCTCCTGCTTCAAGTACATCCTTGACTAGAGGTTCATGAGGCCCTGGGGTACAGAACGTCAGGAGGAGCTCCTACTCAGGGTGTGCAGGGGCTGTAGTCTGGAAAACTTATTCTTAAAGATTTTCATTTATTCCTGAGAGACAGAAAGGCGGGGGGAGTGGGACAGGGAGAAGCAGGCTCCCCACTGAGCTGGGAGCCCGACGCAGAACTCAATCCCAGGACCCTGGGACCATGACCCAAGTCGAAGGCAGCCACCTAAGTATCTGAGCCACCCAGGTGCCCTGGAGAATTTATTCTAATCTACTTTAAGTTCCCTACTTCTCTTTATGATTGTGTTTTGTCTGTTAAACTCATCCATTGGATTTTAAGTTTTGTTTTTTTTTTAAGATTTTATTTATTCATTTGACAGAGATCACAAGCAGGCAGAGAGAGAGGAGAAAGAAGGCTCCCCGCTGAGCAGAGAGCCCAACGCGGGGCTCGATCCCAGGATCCTGGGATCGTGACCTGAGCTGCAGTCAGAGGCTTAACCCACTGAGTCACCAGGCGCCCCAGGTCTTGGGATTTTAACATCAGGAAATGATGTGCCCTTTTTGGCTAAACACCAAGGTATTTTTTTCCTCAGGCCTTAGGTTTGAGGAAAGGAGGGAATTGTCCAGTACGCGTAGCCTTTGAGGGCCCAGTTTTAGGGGAAGAGTCACCTACTGAGCATATCACCTTATACTGGCTTTTTTTTTTTTAAGCCTGTGAGCCCATGAGGAAGAAGATTCCAGCCCAAGTTTGCTAGTTTTGGCAAATACCTCAGGACCCAGGTAGTTGAGGTGTTGCGATAACCCCTCCCTCTCTGAGTTCTCGCCTTTACTTTGTTTTTGGCCTGAAAGTTCCTTATTATCTCGTTTGCTCGTTGATGCTTTTAGGACCATTTAGCCTGGGTGTCCAGTGGGTTCAGTCGGAGAGCGCGCGCTTCTTGATCTTGGGGTTGTAAGTTTAAGCCCCACATTGGGTGTATAGTTGACGTGATTAAAACATTAGCTCATGCTAACCCTTAAGGAATTCCGAGAGCTCCACTATTAAAAATTAAACAAGGGGGTGTCTGGGTGGCTCAGTGGGTTAAGCCTCTGCCTTCAGCTCAAGTCATGATCTCAGGGTCCTGGGATCGAGCCCCGAGTTGGGCTCCTTGCTCCATGGGGAGCCCGCTGCTCCCCCTGCTCCCCTGCTTGTGCTCTCTCCCTGACAACTAAATAAGATTTTAAAAAAGTGTATTAATTTACAAATAGTTTGTTAAAATACTCAAAGCTCTTTACTTTTTCTGAAAACTCTTTACTTTCAAGTCCGTCACTAGAGGTCACTACTATCCGTGTTCCTATTATCCGTGTGGACCTCTAGTGCATCTTGCATTTGGACAGTGAGAATACAGCAGGGGCAGAAACTCTACGTGTCTCCCTAGTTTTCCCTCCAGCAATCGCATTTGGTAACTTGACATCAGCCATCACAGCACCACGGAAACCAGCAAACGCTACGGATCAGCCCCTTCCTCGTGGGCCGGAGGGCCCGTCATCAGACACCAGCCCACGACCGCGTACAACTGAAATGCTTTCCCGAAAGGTCGTTTTCTTTTAGATTTTATTTATTTGAGAGAGAGAGAGAGAGAGAGCGCGAGCCCACAAGCAGGGGTGGGGCAGAGGGAGAGGGAGAAGCGGACTCCCCGCTGAGCAGGGAGCCCGACTGGGGCTCCAGCCCAGGACCCCGGGATCGTGACCTGAGCCGAAGGCAGACACTTAGCTGACACTGAGCCACCCAGGCGCCCCCCAAAAGGTCATTCTGAGTTACACTTCCAGCACAAATGTATTAGATCTTGCCTCTTTATATCTTTTCCTGCTCAGTGTCCTGTTAAGGAGCATTTCAACATGCACATCTTTGAGGATCATTGCAAATGTCTGTCCGCCATTGGCACCCGTGAGCTGCCAGTTTCTCCTTCTGCTTGGTCTTCTGCTGGGTTCACTGGCTCAAAAAAAGGTGTGGGGAGGGAAAAGAACGTGGAGGTGTGTCTTGTGTGAGGGAGGTCGGAACCCTTTCCCTGCCGTCTGTGACAGTATTTTTCTCCCAGTCCCCCCATGTTGCTGTCCTTCCCTCCCCGTACCGGGCACTTTCCTCTCTATGTGTCCCATGTGCCACTTTTCCCAGTGTCACTTTGAGGACGCCATTTAAGAAAAATATATCCAAGTGCTCCCGGGAGGACCTGGAGTGCTGTGCATTCAATGTTAGCTTGTTGCGCACCTGTGTGTGTGTGTGTGTGTGTGTGTGACACACATGCTCTTGATCTGACCCCATGTCCTCCCCATGGGTTCACAGTTGGCTCCTGTGCCAGGTGGATGTGCTGGACCCGCTGGGATACAGAGGAAGGGGCAGTAAGTGCACTATTTTCTCAGGTTTCTGCAATGACTATGATTGATTTGGAGAAGAAATATCTAAACAACCAACCAAACAAACACGCTCTGACGTATCTCCTCGGAAGGGTGGGGTGTAGGCAAGGCTCCGGCCCCATCCACCTTGTCTGCTACACGACTCCCACCGCGCGGGTCCAGGGTCTGGCGAGGGCCTCTCACACGGGCCCCCAGCAGGCCCCCTCCAGGGCCCCCTCCAGGGCCTTAGTCTGCGCAGGTCCTGGGCCTCGCCGGCAGGAGGCGCCGCTCCCTCCCCTTCCCCGAGGCTGGACCCTGCGGGCGGTTCCCGAGGACGGTCAGGCCCCCGCCCCCGCCCCTCCGCGCCCGCGTGGGGTCCCAAGCCTGTCTCCGGCGCCGGGGATGGGGGCGACCTAGGGCTCCCCTCGACCGCGCAGGGCGCCCAGTGGGCAGCCAGGGGCGCGCCCGGGTCTGATGACGTGGGGTGCGCCTCAGAGGTGCCCGGACCCCCCGCCCATCCTCCCCCAGCACCCGCAGACCCGCGCGCGCCCCCAGAGACAACACGCGCTGCCGGATGAGGCTTTCTGGCCGGGACTTTACTGGGACTCCAGAGCTCGCGGGAGGGGCGGCTGGGGTCCCGCGACGCCCCCTCCGAGTCTAGCGGTAGCTGGAGGCCAGCGCCGAGCTCACGTGGCTCAGAAACTTGTCCAGCGAGGCGTGCATGGCGGGGCCGAAGTCTCCGGGGTAGTGCCGGGCGAGGGTGACCAGCAGGCAGTGGCCGAGGAACTGCGGGGAGAGGGAGTCGTCCCGCCCGGAGCCGCCCTCCCCCACGCCCCGGCCTCGGCCTCCGAGGGTCCAGCGCCCGCCCGCGCTCACCTTGAAGTTGACGGGGTCCACACGCAGCTGGTGCGCGTGCAGGTCGCTCAGAGCGGACAGCGCGCCCGGCAGGTCGTCCAGGTGGGCCACGGCGAGGGTCAGCGCGTCGGCCACCTTCTTGCCGTGGGCCTTGACCTGGGCGGAGCCGGGGCTCAGGTCGAAGTGGGGGAAGTAGGTCTTGGTGGCGGGGAAGGACGCGAAGGTCCTGCGGGAGGAAGCGCGAGTGAGGTGCGGCCGGGGGGGAAAGCCCGGGGGGCGGGGGCACCCGGCGCGGCGGCGGAGGCGCAAAGCTCGGGAGCCGGAGGGGCGCGGGGGCCTGGTGGCCGCACCTCTCCAGGGCCTCGGTCGTGTAGATCCCGACGTTGCTCCCCAGCTTCCTCCAGAGCGCGCGCACCGCTGCCTTGTCCGCGGCGGACAGCGCCATCGCGGAGCCTGCGTCCTGCCGCGCGCGCGCCCCGCGCCGGGTCCCTGCGCCTGCGCCCCCGGGGGTCCCCGCGGCCTCCAGGGGGCGCCGCCGCCGCGTGCGCGCCGCACCCCTGCTCGCGGAGTCCGGCTCCGAGCGGTCCCGGAGCCTGGCACCCTCCCGGTGGCCATGGACGCCGCCGCCCCATTCTCCTAGGGTTTACCGTCGGGAAAGTCATCACTTACTAGAATTAGGGGACAATGAATTGAATCATGGATTTTGACATTAACCCTCAGCTTCTTCTCCCTCCCTTCCTCCAGAGCCTATGATGACTCTATTTTCACATTTATGGTGTAAAATGAACATGAAAACGTCCTCTTCCCAAACTTGTGAGACTTTGGCGGGAAACCAAGGTCATGAGCGGGGCTCGTAGCAATTGTTCTTTCAGGACAGAAAACAGGTACTAAATGCCTCGGATGTATCTCAAAAGTGATACCTGATCCCTGTGGGGCACCCACTCTGTGCCAGGCACCGCTCCGCGCATTAAAACAATTGCAGGGTGGGGGGCTCCTGGGTGGCTCAGTCGGTTACCCAGCCGGCTCTTGATCTCAGCTCAGGTCCTAATCTCAGGGCGCTCAGCTCAAGACCTGTGTGGAGCCGACTTAAAAAAAAATTTTTTGGTACAATTACTATAACATAAAATTACCATATTAGCCATTCTATTCTATTTTATTTTTGAGAGGGAGAGAGAGGGTGGACTGGCAGAGGAAGAGAGAGAGACTCTTAAGCTGGGCGTGGAGCCCAATGCCAGGCTGTCTCACAACCTTGAGATCATGACCTGAGCCGAAATCAAGAGTCAGATAACTTAACCAACTAAGCCATCCAGGTGCCACACCCACCCCACCCCCCCCCCCCCCCCCCCCCCCCACCCCGCCATCTAAGCCATTTTGAAGTGTCTTTAACCACATCCAGTGTTGTGCAACCACCACTGTCATCATCCCAAATGGAAACTTTGTCCCCATTAGCAGTCACTCCATACCCCCTCTCCTCCAGTCCCAGCAGCCTGGTCTTTGTCTGTGTGAGGTCGCCTATTCTGGACGTTTCATGTGAGTGGAATCACACATTCGTGTGTCTGGCTTCTTTCATTTGGCACCGTTCCCAGGGTCCTTCCTGCTCTAGGCTGTGTCCCCCGCTTCCAGCTCTTCATGACTGACTGCGTTTTGTTTACCCATTCATCCCCTGGTGGACATCTGGGCTTTCCCACCTTGAGCCCAGGCCATCATTTTCATGATAACAAAAGAAAGAAGACTGCCTAGTACTGGGAGCTCATACTGTACCACCAGCTGTGCCACAAGTGTCACCAGTTGAGGCAGAGGCCTGCCGTCTCATTTTCCAAGGATGACTCTGGGACCCCGGGAAGAAAGGACATTGCTGTTAGCTGGGGGCTCGGCCCCCATGGCTGCCAGGACCAGACACGGAGGCGGCAGGGGGCTTGCTCTGAGGGCAGGAAGCACGCAGGAGTGCTGAGCCCCAGGACCTGGCTCTTCTCTGTTGCAGGGTATGTGTGTGTGTGGAGGGGGGTTAGGGGTGGTGGGCCTCTGGGCTATGTAGTCAGTGCTGAGCTGACCCCCAAAGCCAGCCCTCCAGGTCCGTATTGCCCCAGGACAGCACGCTCTTCACAGTGTGTCCTGGAAGTGACACCGGGAGAAAGCAGCACCATCAGGAAATTGCCTGGCATCTGGGATGGACTGCTCACCCCGATTTCATCTAGATTGAAAGAATTTGGGAAGCACTTGGCAGGTGGGGGCCATTGGGTGAGACTCCCAGGAGCCTGACCTCCGGTCTTCCCCACTGCCCAAATTCAGGCGGAGCCGTGGGAGAGCTCAGAGGTCTGGGCTGGGGGCCCACGAACTCTCAGATCAAGAGCGTGTCGTAAAACGTAAAGGTGGAAAAGCAGTTCATTGTTCGAGCAAATCGCCGGAGCGTCCACAAAGCTCCGGAACGAAATGGAGGACATGGCGAGCTCGCAGCAGAGCACTCCCGGGTGCGGGTGGGGAGCGGGAAATCCCAGGCAGGAGCAGCAGAACCGGCCCCACTCCCCTCCTCTGCGCCTGTCTTCCCTTCCCTCTCCTGGCCGCTGCGGACAGGTCCGTGGTGCGAAGCGAGGAGAACCCCCGGGCTTCCCCCCACCCCGCACGTCGGCGCACAGAGAGAACCGAGACGCGCACAGGCTGCAGTCCACTCAGACTTTATTCAGAGATCGGGAGGTTGAGGAGCGCGGAGCGCAAGAGGGCCCCGGGCCGGGAGCCCGAGCACCGCTGCCGCTTCAGCTTAACGGTACTTGGAGGTCAGCACGGTGCTCACGGCGCTGAAGAACTTGTCCAGGGAGGCGTGGACGGCGGGGGTGAATTCCGCGGGGTGGTGGCAGGCCAGGGTCACCAGCAGGCAGTGGCTCAGGAGCTGCGGAGGGAGGGGACGTCAGGGGCCGTCGCGGGGCGCGGCCGCCCGCGCTCCACCTTCGGGACCCCGAGGGACTCTCCGCGGGCGGAGCAGGCCCCGCGGCCCCGCCCGCCCCCTCGCTCCGGGCCGCGTCCGCGCGCTCACCTTGAAGTTGACGGGGTCCACACGCAGCTTGTAGGCGTGCAGGTCGCTCAGAGCGGACATGGCTCCCGGCAGGTCGTCAATGTGGGCCACGGCGTTGGTCAGCGCGTCGGCCACCTTCTTGCCGTGGGCCTTGACCTGGGCGGAGCCGTGGCTCAGGTCGAAGTGGGGGAAGTAGGTCTTGGTGGTGGGGAAGGACACGAAGGTCCTGCGGGAGGAAGGGGTGGGCGAGCCAGGGTTAGGCGGGGCGGTGGAGGACAGGCGCCGCGAGGGGCCGGCGAGCCCCGATCCCCACGGGGCAAGGTGGGGTCCTCACCTCTCCAGAGCTTCTCCTCCATACTCGCCCGCGTGGCCGCCAATCTTGTCCCAGGTGGACTTGACGTTGCTCTTGTCGGCGGGAGACAGCACCATGGTGGGTTCTTTCTGAGTCTGTGTGAGGACCAGAAATGTGCGGGGCGCGGGGAGCGCGGGGCATTAAATGCCTGGGGCGCGAGGGGCGCGCCCTCCCGGCCCGCGCTCATTGGCTGGCCCGGTGCCAGGAGGTGTTCCCGGCGAGTGCTGGCGGGGGTCCCAAGGCCGCCTTCACTCTCTCTGCCCCGCCCAGACCGGGATCCAGTTCTGTATGGTACCCTCCATTTCCTCTCCTGTGGTTCCGGGGAGCCCACACAGGTTCCCGACCCACCCCACAGGCTCCGGCTTTTGGCTGGCAACCTGGGGTATTTGCTAGTTGGGAAGGAGAGCACATTTTCCGAAGTGAAACAAGCTGCTTCCGCACCAAACTTTCCCCAGGACCAAGAGCTGTAGACAGTCCGCGTAAACAGTGGGGGTGAGGGAGATAATGTGGGATCAGGTGCTCCAAGCCCTCCTTCCCCTCATGGTGGGCAGGGATTCCTGGCCACCCTCGGGTAACAGGCGCAGGCGCAGCCAGGTAGGGTGGGTAATTTCCCACAAGTCAGAGCTTACCCTCCGGCATTCTTCGGACTTGGGCACGTCCAGCCAGGTGGGGCTCCCCGGGCCGACAGAGATTTTCAGCAGGGAACCTTCCTCATTCAGAGTCAGGTGAGCTCCTGGGGTCCCCACTCCCTGGCCTCATTCCCTTGTCAGAGAAGGTTCTCCATAGAGTGCTAGGATTCCTGCCCCCCCCCCCCCATGCCACAGAGGGGAGAGACTGACCCTGGGGACCGGGTCTGGAGGTGAAGGGGAGGAACGCCTTGGTTGGGGGACCGGCAGAGACTGAAAGGAACATTGTATTGGAAGTTGGGGGGCCCTGGGCCTGCCGGGTGCTGACCCTGCTTTATGGTCTAATAAATTATTTCAAAGAGCCAGCACGGCATCAGCTTTCTGTTTGTGTTTACGTCGGATGCATTAGGTTCAGACCGCTCCTGGACATGTCCGGTATCACAGAGCCGTTGTGTGGACCGGGTGTCTGCCTGATCCTGGCGGTCAGGAGCTCGTTCCCCAGAACCCCACCCCCCCCACCCCCCCCACCCCCGCCAGGAGATTCAGAGGGAGGGGCTAACATGGCTGGGGCAATGTCCCCTGCAGACTGAGCATCAAGGGGAGAGAAGAAAGAGAAGGTCGGCGGGGTCCTGGCCCCTACCTCTGACCTCCCGCCAGGAACTTGACCCTCGGCCTCGGTGCCTGCATTTGTCTGCAAAAGAGGCGAGGAGTCCCGGGAGTGGCTCCCAGCGGGAGGGCATGGAGGGAGAACCGAGGAATGGGTGAATGCAAACGTGCTTTGTGAACGGTGTGTCACAGCGGGTGTGTTGGAAACGAACTGCACCCGGAGAACCTCCTTCCTCTTAGCTCCCATTTGTCCCCTCCCCCCATTTCCCCATCACAAGAGGGGACTTGTTCTGTTCAAGGTTTTGGGGATCCACACCCTGTCCAGACCCGGGATTGTCAACCCGGGAACCGTTCCCATTTGAGAGTCCCTGGCCCCTGTTCCCTTGTGCGCAAAGGTCCGGGATCGCGCCCTAAGATTCCGGGTGGCTCCACACCCGACCCGGAGTTTTCTGGCCAGGCACCATAACCTCAGCCTACCCGCTCCCCAAAGACCACACAGGCGCACGGTCCCTCCGTTGGAGCCTGTTTATTGACATGCAGAGACGGAAGCCCGCGGGGCGGGGGACTCAGCGGTACTTCTCGGTCAGCACCACCGACACGCCCGTCAAGAATTTATCCCACGCCGCCTGCATCTCTACGGTGAACTCGCCCTGCAGGTGGGAGGCCAGCACCACCTGGAAACACTGGATCAGCAGCTGCGGGAGAAGGGGCGGATGAAGGGGCGCTGCCTTTGCCGATTCCCTCTCCAGCCCCGACCCCGGCTGCGCGCGCGCGCGAACCCTACGGGGGCCCGGGCGGGCTCACAGGGAAGTTGGAGGGGTCCACGCGGAGCACTTGCGCGTGCAGGTCGGCGAGCGGACTCAGGGCCGCGCGCAGGTTGTCCATGTGTCGCACGGCCACGCCCACCGCCTCGAGCATGCGTTGTCCGTGGGTCAGCAGCTGAGTCTCGTCAGGGCAGAAGCCCAGGTGCTTGAAGTAGACCTTGGTGCTGGGGTAGACCGTGAAGAGCCTGACGGAGCAGGTGGGTGAGTGAGGAGGGCGGCCGCGTGGGGTCTTTCCCGCGCCTGCACTGTCCAGACACCCGGAAACCCCCCGCCTCGGCCCCTCCTCCGACTCAGGCCCCAAGCCCCTGGCACCGCCCCCCTGCGATCCTGGAAACCCCGCCTCAACCCACCTGAGCAGCAGCTCCGCCCCAAAGGACGCCTCGTGGCCGGCGATCAGGTCCCAGACCTGCGCGACCTGGGCGCGCTCTTGGGCGCTGAGCATGGCGCTGGCGGGGCGTGCTCTGGGGGCCCCTCCCGCCGCGCCGGCCTCCTTATAGCCTCCCCACACCCCAGGCGCCCCGCCTGCCCTTATCTGCGGGACGGCGGCCGGAGCGCGGGGACCCTCGGCCGGCACGGGGAAGCGTCTCCAGGCTAGGTCCCTGTGGCCGCGGAGGCCGCCGCGCGGGGCGGGGCGTGTTACCCGCACGGACTCACGCGCTGTGCGTGCGCGCTTTTGCTGCAGACATCAGCAGGATCTGGAATAACCCCCGTGCGGGCAAAGTGAGGGCCTGTCCAGGGACAGCCGGTGGGAGGACTGGGGAAAGAGCGCCGCGCAGGGGCGGGGCGGGGGCGGGGGTCCTATCATGGGGCCTCGCAGCGCGGGAGCTGTGACATCAGGCTTTGAGGAAAAGCCCCCCGAGGGCGCACACGCCTGCAGCACGCTGAGTAAAGCAACCGCTGGGCGATTTGGGCGGCAGGAGAGGAGCAAAGCCCTCTCTGGCCTGAGAACCGCATGGGCCAGCCTGCGCGGCTTTGCCTCTCCCCGACTCGTGCGTAGGCGCAAGGATCGCCCCAGAGCATCCTTGCGGTGGCCTTTAAGCCGGTGGTGACCCTGGGGTCGGGGCCGCATTCCTGCAGCTCCCGCTTTCTTTCACTCCCCTCTTTCCCGCCAATACTGAGACCGCAAGAGCCACTTCCTCCTCATCCATTTATTGGAGAATCCGTGGAGGAATTATGGAAGGTTCAGGGGCAGGGAAGGGGCGGCAGCCCGCCCTCGGTCAGGCGGCTGCGCTCAGCGGTACTTCTCGGTCAGGACGGCCGACACGATGGACAGGAACTTGTCCCAGGCGGTGTGGGCGTCGGCGGTGAAGTCGGCGGGGAAGTGCGAGGCCACGGTGACCAGCAGACAGTGCGACAGGAGCTGAGGGGCGGGAGCGCGGCCCCGTGAGCGGCCGGTGCCGGTGGGGGTGCTGGGGGGGACAGAGCCCCCGCAGCCCACACCCCGCGGCTGCCCGTGCCCCGCCCCCCAGGGGACCCCAGCCCCGCGCCCACCTTGAAGTTGACCGGGTCCACGCGCAGAATGTAGGCGTGCAGCTCGCTCAGCTTGGCCAGGGCGCCCCCGATGTTGTCGATGCTCTTGACCGCCTCGCCCAGGGCGGCCACCACCTTGGCGCCGTGCATGCGCAGGTGCGCGGAGCCCGGGTGCAGGTCGAAGTGCGGGAAGTAGGTCTTGGTCTGGGGGTAGCTGGCGAAGAGCCTGCGGGCGGGGGCGACAGCCACACCTGGTGAGGCCAGCGCGGGGGCGCCTCGGGCGCAAAGCTTACCGGGCCTTGAAAAGGCCAGCGGCCTGGAGAAGTCATACTTGAAGGCAGCATTTCAAGACATAAACGTTAAGGCAAACCATTCACGTTGAATACGATGTTCTAATTTTACACAAGGACGGGATCCCCATTGCCGCTTCCCCTCTTACACCAGGCTCAGACAGGGCACGGTGGAATCCCACCCTCACCGTCCCCTCGCTGGCCAACCCATTCATTCCTTCACTGATTCCTTCCAGCGATGTTTGTGGACACCCGGGCGCTGGGGCCAGCACAAAAGACAGTCTCACAGCCACGCGCCCTTTCCGTCCCCCTCTTCTTCCTGCTCCCTGAGTGTTGTCCCCCTCCTCCCTGCTCCCTCCGTGCTGGGCCCTGTCCTCCCTAACCCCACACTGTGCCCTACCTGGCTCCGTGCCAGCCCACGGGGCGCCCACTCACCTCTCCAGGGTCTGGGTGCCAATGGCATCGGCCTGGGTGGAGATCTTGTCCCACATGGACAGGATGATGGCCCTCTCGGCCTTGGTCAGAGACATGGTGGTAGCGGAGCTGGGCGTACTCAGGACTAGCCTCTGTGGGGCTCACCCCCCAGGATCCCTTTATACACAGGGAGGCTGGGTGGGGGCCAGGCTGTGGCCAGTTGTCTGGAGAGGGGACAGGGCTGTGGGGGTGGGGTCTCTTATCAGACCCAGTGAGGGTGGGTGGTCAGGGCCTGATGGCCGGGCCCCTGAGGGGCTCTCACTCCAACCTCCCCCACTGGGCCACAGCTAGAGTCCACGTTGCAGGGAGATAGGGGCCAAGCCTGGTTGGAGAGTCCACATGTCAGCCCAGCTCCTGGACTGGCCTCCACAGCCCTTGTCCCCGACCCCCGTCCTTGTGGTAGAAGGTGACCTAGAATGCCTCAGGCTCTCACAGAAGCACTCCCCCTCCTTCCTGTGCTGGTGCCTCTGCACTGCCGCCTCATTTACAGTTTGCGGAGGACGGAACCAAGGTCCACGGAGGGAAACTGAGGCCAGCTGTCACAGGGTGCGAGTAGCAGTCTTGGCTTCAGACACTGCTCTGTAGCCCCTGCCCCACCCAGATGAAGTTCTTCTCCCCCAGAATCCTGACCAGGGGGACTCCCCGCTCTGGGTCCCCAGGCTGGGGGAGGCTGGGCTCCTGACGCAGAGCCTGGGACTACAGGAGCCTGCGGTTCCCCTGCCCCGTTTCCATCACAGCCTCTACTGTGTATCCTCGCCCTCCTAGTATTTTGTATCCCCTTTCCCCCTCCCCCATAAGGCAACCGTTCTAATGTGCTTAACTAGTTCCTTTAGTTAGTATGTGTTCTTGCAAAGGGTACATTTTTAGGCAAGTATTTTAAGTTAAGTTATAGGTTGATTCTTAAAATTTAACATAATCATTTCCTCACAAGCACACCTTTTTTGAAATACAAGAGCATTTCTTTAGGGGCACCTGCGCAGCTCAGTTGGGTAAGTGTCTGACTTCAGTTTGGGTCATGATCTCGGGGTCCTGGGGTCAAGGTCAGAGTGGGGCTTCTGCTCAGCGGGGAGCCGGGGAGCCGGCTTCTCCCTCTCCCTCCGCAGCTCCCCTTGCCTGTGCTCCTTCTCTGTCAAATCAATCCATCAGTCAATCAGTCTTTTTCAAAAGAAGAAATATAGGAATTTTAAGAAGATTAATTGATTTATTATGTGAGAGAGAGAGAAGAGACAGAGGGAGAGAGCATCTGACGCAGACTCGCAGACTTGTGGAGGAGCTCGGAGCCTGGCACGGAGCTCAATCAAAGGACCCTGAGAGTCTCTCCACCAACCGAGCCCTCCCCACCGCCCCCGCCCCCAGCGTCTCTGACAATGTTTTTCCACAGAAACAAAGGCTGAACACAACTGCAGCACAACGGTAATGGCCCTTACCCCTCAGGGATGAGGCTTAGAGTTACTCTCCTCTGTTTGCCTGTGTGCCCCTGTGTTTTCACCGGGCTCCCACGCAGTCCTCGTTACTAAACCCATCCCGTGCCATGAGGGGGCAACTGAGTGGGGCAGTCCCCGACCTCACCCTGTCTTGGTATGAGCAGGGAGTTGGGGCCTCCAGGCGGATCCCAGAGTCCAAGCCTGAGTCCGGTGGGGAGGCTCCAGTTTCCTCAGCTGACTCCCCCTGTCCCACATCCCCCGAGCCGGCCCCCCGGGGCTGCCTTCCGGAAAGCACCCGGTGGGGCTCCCCAGGCTGCCACGTCAGTTCTGCTCCTGGGCTGGGCCAGCCCTCACGGGGTGGCTGCGCGTCTCTGCGGCCTGGCGGCGTTTAGGGTGACCCCTTCGGTTTGCCCGTGGGATTGAGCCATTGCCCACATGATGGTTTGAATCCCTGGGTTCCTTTTTGCTGGCCAGGTGATCTTGGCTTATTTCTGTCATCTGTTTTTTATGAACACACACACACACACACACACTCTCAGGGTTTTCTCTAACACATGCACTGTGCATGTATTTAAGGTTTTTAAGAAATTAATTAAAAAATTAAACTTGTGGGGGCACCTGGCTGGCTCTGTTGGTAGAGCGTAAGACTCTTGATCTCAGGGTTGTGAGTTTAAGTCCTGCATTGTGTGTAGAGGTGGCTTAAAATATTTTTTTTTAAAGATTTTATTTATTTATTCAACAGACAGAAATCACAAGTAGGCAGAGAGGCAGAGAGAGAGGGGAAACAGGTTCCCAGCTCAGCAGAGAGCCCGACGTGGGGCTCGATCCGAGGACCCTGAGATCGTGACCTGAGCCGAAGGCAGAGGCTTAACCCCCTGAGCCACCCAGGTGTCCCTAAAATCTTTAAAAATAGGGCACTGGGCAGGGAGCCTCAGTCAGTCAGGTGGTTGCCTTCAGCTGAGGTCATGATCCTGGGATCCAGTCCCACAATGAGTCCCACACTGAGTGCCACTCTGGAATCCTGACCCGAGCCCAAGGTAGCCGCCCAACCGACTGAGCCGCCCAGGTGCCCCTTAATTAAACATGTTCATTGTAACAGCAATCCTGACAAGAGGACAGCTTAAAGGGACACTTGGGTGGCTCAGCTGGTTAAGCCTCTGCCTTTGGCTCAGATCATGATCCCAGGGTCCTGGGATCGAGCCCCACATCGGGCTCCTTGCTCAGCAGGGAGCCTGCCTCTCCGTCTCTCTCTGCCTGCTGCTGCCCCTGCCTGTGCTCATGCACTCTCTCCCTCTAACAAATAAATAAAATCTTTTTGAAAAAGTACAGCTTAAAAAACAAAATTTCAAAAAAAATAAATTTCCCTTCTCACCTACTTACCTTCAGAGATAACCCTTCCATGATTTCCTAGGACTTTCCCCACGAATTAGGAACATATGTGTTAAGGGGCGCCTGGCTGGCTCAGCCCATAGAGCATGCAACTCTTGTTTTCAAAAAGATTTATTTATTTGAGAGAGAGAGAGAGAGCACAAGCAGGAGGGACAGATGGAGACGGAGAGTGTCATGCAGACTCTGCGTTGAGTGTGGAGCCGATTTCATGACCCTGAGGTCGCGACCTGAGCAGAAACCAAGAGTCTGATGCTTGATGGACTGAGCCACTCAGGTGCCCTCAACATGCAGCTCTTGATCCTGGGGTGTGAGCTGAGGCCCATGCTGGGCATAGAGATCACCAACAAACGTGTGTGTGTGTGTGTGTGTGACCATGAAACTACGCCTGAGAGCTCAGTGGGGTATCATTCCCCCATTCCAACGTCTGGGGCTGCCAGGGTCCCGCGCCCCCAAGAGGGGGCCGGTTAGCGCTGTGTCCTTAAAGCCTTCCTAAAAGCTGCCTTGTCTGTTCATAGAGACGACGCATGGTCCTTGAGACCCCTTGAGGGAGTTTGCAGACTAGGAGGTGAATGGACGTTACTTACATCTCACCAGGCACACTCACATGCTTGTGTTTTCTTCCTTTAGCTGAATTACCCTGGAAACGCGTCTTCGTGTCCTGCGGACCAGCGTGTGCGTACCCGTCACAACCGGCCCATGGGGCCCGCTGGAGCTGGCCACCCGGAAAGCAAAGTCTGAAACCACAAGTAGACATTGGAGGCTCACCGTGGGGGCCCTTGATGGCCGGGTGCCGGCACCGTCCCGGCGAGCACGGCTGAAGTCCAGCAAAAATGCCTTCCGCGTCTTCACAGTGGATGAGGACAGCGTTCAGGCCCCGAGCTACAGAGAGGACCCACAGGAGACTGCCAACCCTTCCCTTGGAAATCCCTCCCAGGAGGGATCTCCAGGCCAAATGGAGGCTGTAGAGAGGATTGGAGGGACTCACGGTGTGCAGGCCTGGGCTCCCTCCTGCCCTCGTGGGGTTGCCCACACGTTTGCGTCTCCAGAGCCACCAGAGCAAACAGGCACTGGTTGTTTTAGGTGGGAAGGATCCCTGGGGTCGTCTGGGGCCCAGTGGAAACTGAGGTCCAGAGTGGAGGAGAGGCTGGGTACAGTCACAAAACCCACAGGATACTCAGCCTTGGGCCTCTGTTTGCCGATGCCAAAGGCCCGCTCCTGGAAGGCAGCTCCTGGACAGCCAGGTGCGTGGGACCACCCCGCATGCCCCACGCCCGTGCTCCTGGGCAGGAGTCCTTCTGGGTCCATGTCCACCCTGGAGAAGGGGGTCCCACCTTGGGCACCGCCCCTCAGAACAGAGTCTCTCTGTGGCCCTGAGAAGAGAACCCCCAGACCCTAACGCCAGGCAAGGAGCCAGAACCATCTCTGGCAGGCTCCTGAAAGCCCCAGAAGCTCCATGGGATCTTTGCAGGTGACATCCGACCCCGCCCTGAGCCAGGCCTGCTCTAACAGCTGGGGGCACAGCACCGGACCCAGGGACAGAAACCCCTGTTGGCCAGAGCCTCTGTTCTAGAGCGGAAGCCGTACAATACAGAGAGCGCGCAGCAGGCAGGCGCAGCAGCGATGACCCTGACCCCGGACTGCTGCCCCACCGCCCGCGTCCTCATGTGACTGTGACAACCAGAGCCCCAGGTGAGCACGGAGGAACCGCAGGTGAGCCCAGCACCCCCGTCCTGGCAGAGAAGGCTTCTAGGTGAGGAGTTTCAAGCTACGGGATCACAGGGCTACTCCCACTTCTCAGCAGCATCCCATCGCGGGCAAAGCCCCGCTTCCTCGGGCCCGGATCGCTAAACACCAGGCCCAGCTCTCTAGCTCGGAGGCCCAGCATGTCCCGCGCTGGGTGGTCCCCTTCCAGCCAAGGAGTTGCCACAACCAGGCGTGTCCCCGCGGTGTCTGTCTGCACGGCATTGACGTCAGGAGCGAAGAGACAGGGGAACGTGGTGGCGGTGTTGAGAGGTTGCAGTTTTATTTTATTTATTTATTATTTTTATTATTTTTTAAAAGATTTTATGTATTTATTAGAGAGAGGCAGAGAGCACGGAGGGAGAGGGAGAAGCAGGCTCCCTGCTGAGCAGGGAACCCAAGGGGGGGGCTCGTCCCAGGACTCTGTGACCATGACCGGAGCCGAAGGCGGACGCCCACCCCACGGAGCCCCCCAGACACCGCGAGGGTTTGCAGTTTTAGATGGAGTAGCCGGGGGAGACATCACTGGGAAGGCAAACTTAAGCAAGTATTAAGCAGCTGGGAGAGTAAGCCAGGAGACGCTGAGGGCGAGAAAGTGTGCAGCGAGCAGAGGGGGTGGGCAAGGGCACAGGCCCCCAGAGGGCTGGGCCTGCATCGCTGGAGAGAAGCAGGCAGGGGCAGGGCGCCTGGGGCGGAGGGAGGATGGGTCTCCAGGCAGCACCGGGTGTATCCCTCCGTGGTCCCCTGACCTGCCACCGCCTGCGTC